AAAGCAGCCGGTGATTCGCCTGGTACCTAGAAAGCACTCGAGCCACACCAATGTATCACTCGCTTACTCCTGAATTTCCCCCTCCAGCATGGTACTACCAAGCGTCGCAAGAAGGGCTTCACTTTGGGACAGATTTGCAACTGCAATCTATATAAGACCAGCGACAAATCGCTAACCGCAAGTCAAGTACGGATATGCCTACTCCGTACGGAGTACCAGCGAGTCTGAATGTTTCTTCAGTGGGCCGAGACCCTGGCCGTTGTCGCCCGGGGCATAAGGCCGACCTGGTTGGCTGAGCGACCGCCTTCGCCCCGTCTTCTTATGTGACTGCGCCCCTCTCCAAAAGCCAGCCCTCTCGTTCTCGTGGAAGCCCATGACCCCCGCCTCCGATCTCCATTCGATTGTCGTCTAGCGCAGCGCGCCCAGCCTCTTCGTATCCCTTGCTCGGTATTCCGTCCGGAGGTTCTGAGCGACGACGTCTACGGACAGCAAGAGAAAACTTCGTCATCAAGACGGGTCCTCGTCTACAACGCTCCGACCACCAGGTCATTAACGGTTGCCGAGTTGAGGCTGCGACAGAAGTACGTTTTTCCAACAAAAGTATCGTCAGTGGAGGGCACGAGCACAGTGGGTTCAATCATGCAAGATGTGACGGGGCGGTGATCGTCAGGCCCAACATGCCACCGAGTCCACCAAGTCCACCAAGTTGAACAAACAGAAACAAGCATCATCCAGTGAGTGACACTACCAACCTCTATGTAGAGAATCAGAGTACCGAAATCCTACTATTTCCCGCATGTCGACTCTTCACACAAGTCAATAGTACTAGGTACGCTCGTGACTCTATGCGGAACAACAGTGATAGTCAGCACAATCAAAATCTGTCATCCCATTCTATACTTATTTTACTTCCTCCCTCCCGTGCCGCAACAGCACACGACCCCTCACAAATAATAAACATCAACATTACCTACTCTACCAATCTGCCTCTAAAACGGCAAGGAAGTCCTTTTTGCCATCACTCTTGAAGAACCCCTTTCATCTTAACCGCTGTTGTCGCCTTCCGCCCTCATAGTAGTCGTATACTATACTTTGGCCCCCGGGAACCCCCCACCAAAAACACCAAACCTGAAGCACACTGAAGCAGCACCGGCCCTGCTTCACCCTCCGTAGTGCTGCAACGCTAACCCATGTTCTGGGCATGACATCACAAATAACTGCAAACAGGATCCATCCTCCTTCAGACATCGGCGCTCTCTGCTTTAGGGCAAAAAATGCTTCATGATGAATTTAGCTATTCTATGGGTGTTCGCTTATACAGTTTAAAGCAACAGTAAGCTTGAGAAAAGCCACGCCGCACTCTATTCCCTATGTTACTGACACCTCAGCTGACGCTATACTCTGCCTGCCATCAGCCTCTCCCGCGTTCCCAGCTGTCTTACAACGTACTGTCCGATTTCCCCGAGGAGGCTCTGCAAAACTGCAAAGCCTCGTATCGGCGAGTCAGGGGCTCGCGAGAAAGGCAGCTCGACCAATAAGTCAATCCATTGCGCGATTAGTCAAGCTCAGCTATGTGAGCCAGGAATAGATAGACCGTGGAGGAAAAGATCCACGCACACTCAAACATTACCCTTCCATTCAGAATGCACCACACCACCGCGACTATTTCCATCTTTCATGAGCCTACGGTAATCTTTAGCTCTGTCTCCAATTGCCTATATGAGTAGTGTCCGGCCTCCTTCTCCCCTCGATGTTTCCTTGCAATAGGTTCCCGCTAATACCTGTCATTCTCCTACTCTTGAAGGTTTAACTTAGATAAGTTGCGAATTAGTTCCGCCACCTGATGCCTAAGCTCCGGGACTAACGCTTGCAGTAATGCAATGCTTCGATTAAAGGTCTGCCCATCTCCCAGAGCTTATGTAGCTCTGTTTAGTTAAAAGGTATTGATCTGCCATATTGATGCCGCACACACGTCGAATAGATAAAGCTAAAGTAGACATTCGAGGACAATCGAAGTACAAGTCAACGAAATTTCGTGAGGTGCCCAATCGATCTGGTGTGAAACAGAAATGCGCTCTATAACTCCCGTCGCATCGTATTCATTTTCAAAAAGTTGGGGGATTTGGTTTTATGTTGTGAAGCCCGCCACACGATCTAGCACTTGTAACTTCAAGTTCGCAACGCTGTCCGCGAGCCAGATAAAGTGTGATTGTTCCCATAATCCCGCGGCCATTCTGCATTTCAAAACCACTAGGGACTTCCGCCATTCGCTCATACGTTGCCTTTATCAACGTCGTGTCCTGCAACTTGCGAGTGACGAATAAATGGTTCTTGTCAGCAAATCGTCAACTTGCTTTGATGTAGTATGGAATAGTCTTGGCAAGTCCATTTTGTCGCACTATGGAGGCTTCCGGGAGTATTCCGATCAGGGCGTCACATCTTCATATTGCCGCAAAGTCTATCTATGGATTAGCAGAATTCCTAGACATTGTGGAATATAGCATGAGTACCTTGATAGATTTTCTTTTAATCCTTTTGTAACTATATCCTGAATCCAAAAGTAAGATTGCACGAGCTTCAAGCTAGGGGGTCGACGAGCAAAAGCACCAGTACTAGACCAGAGATACTCATTCCCAAAGGATCTAATTTCACAGTGGTGGTAGTCCAGAACAGTGTCATGGTTAGGTGTGTCGCAAAACCGAGGCCGTTGATTGAGGAAAGTGATCAATGCAATATATAAGTACCTTGCGATATGTTCTCTTCAATTACAACTACTCGTACCTCAATACAGTGGTCCTGAACGGAATATTTAGGTAAGAGTTCTTTCAATAGCTCCTTGAAGACAAGTTTGCTTGCATTCAACTCACTTTCAAGCGTGGCTATGCACGCTTGAGCCAATCTCAAACACGACTAAGCGGATAATTCTCCTTGGACTTCAAACGTAGATACTTCCTCAAAACCGAACGCATTGCCATATCTTTGGAGTTCAGGCCACGGACTTGGGAAGTTTCGGTGTGGTTAGCAATTTCACAGCGACACACGATCTCAATTGTCTTCGCTCATCATTAATAAATAAAGGCTTTATATTGAAGATGTAATGATGGGCTAAGAAGAAACCCATATGAGTGAATGAAAGACAACAAGCTGAATTTACGGACGCTAGACTTGAAGTCGTGAATCACGAAGTCCATCGTGCCTCCATTGCGACGTACCGTTTATATAAAGTCTCTCTGAGTTAGAGATAGCTTATTGATACTTACAAACCCTCTTTCAATAGATTATTGGTGAAAACATCCGTCTTACTTGGTATTAAACAGCCGCTCCCAAGTGGACGAGGCCTGGACACATCTTTCTAGTCTACTGCCATTGCAAACCAACATCGAGAATGTTTCGTTCCATCCAATAGGTCGCTTAAAACAACAGGTGAGCTTGTAGCATCTACGATGCCGGCCACGACTCACTTGCAACGATCGCAGTGGTCTACGACGCTTACTATACTAATATGAAGTTACACGTACAGCACCATCGCTATCGGACGTCCTCATCATTTACAAACACTCATTATGATGCAATCACTTGTGTTTACAGAACCTTCATCTGTCCCGAACCAATCAAAGCCACCTAGTGCACTTCATCCAAGGCTGGCTAATACTACATTGAAATAGAGAGAGAAGATTAGCGCAAAAGCTATCCGTTACCGTGATATCCTTTATAAGTATTCTTACTATCCTTCTCTTTTGTTTATACTTGTACTGGAGGAAAAATTCCCCTGAGAGCATGAACAACACTGAGGCTAAGAATTCTGTCGGGGAGTTGCGGTATGGCTTGTACTCTTCAGATGGTAATACTTATAAGAGTTAGCAGTGCTTTTCGTATTGTCAAGCAAGAGCGGCGTACATGGTCAATGAATTGAATTTGATCTTGTCTTCCAGACGAACGTTATTTTCAAAGCGCAACGTTCCTTCTCTGTGAGCCATGTCATTGTACGTACATGCATCTTTTGAAGAGGGCCATGGCTGGAGAATTTTTATGAGAATAATAACAACTTTTAGCATTTTTCTTTCCTCGTATCGAAGTGAGCGCTTATGATGTATTATCTTGAAAAGGATTCCTCTGCCTGCCTCTCAGCTTCAATGACAGTCATTCAATGGATCGTTTTATCATCTCCGAACTGGATAGACGTACTTCAGACAACTGCGATTCAATTCGCCGGCCGATGCCTCCTCTTATTATTAGGTAGTATGAGTATACCACAGACCAGTGCCTGTGGAGAGCGAGAGGCTGGTTGTGTGGATCGACTCGGTTATCGGCAGGCAGGTGAAACGCAGTTGGGCCCCGTCACAAGTGTTCCAGACATCGTTCAAGCCCCTGGCTTAGATTGAAGAGCCCCCTAACGAAGCAAACCTACCAAGCCCAAGAACTTGTCCCCCAGCCCAAAAGCTCGCGCCTACGTTATATCTCAATCTTCACGTTTACAAACTTGTCAGTGCAGAGCTGGAGCAACTTGGAAATGACTTTCCTGTCCTGAACTCTCGTTCTGTAGTCGTTCCAAGCACGAACCATCTTGGTAGACTTGCAGAAACTCCCTGCAGCATGAAGCTGGCGCTTGTTTCACAAAAAACCGTCCTACGCTGAGACATGAAACACGTCAACGCAACACTACAGATGTATCAAAGGGTTTGTTTGGCTGAGCACAGATGACAGCAACAGGGGTCATCGCAAGTCTACTTGACCTTCTCTGGTGGGAAATCAGGACCCAGGAGTGCAAGGAATTCGTTTAGGGTCCCATTGGCCATCATCCCTTCCATGATGAGATGGCCATCCCTCGCCCGTGAGTCGAACTCTCAAACAGCCATTGTAGCCGAGGAAAATAAGCCGGTATATCCAGTATTACGGCAGAAGGAACCCCGTATGCGATACCCGTATGCGGATCTCACGGTGGACAAAACCAAGACGGTCCCCAGGTTGAATTTCCCTCCCCGTAGCTTAAACCATTGTAACATTGCTATTATTCCCTTCTGTGTTTTCCAGCACGTCAACCTTCCCGCCGGTGCCAACTCCTCCAACCTCAGAATGCCCCCCAAAAGCAACCATTACTCCACCGTATCGCACTCGGATACCTATGATGATTCCACCACTGAAGTCGACGAGTCACTCATGGGCGATGAGAAGCAATGGCACTCAATAGACCTGAACGCGGATGGGAACAAGGCAGGAAGCACTTGGAAAGAAGTCAAAATCATATTGAGGAGGTATCGCTGGCTTATCGACACACTTCTCCTCCTCACGAATATTGGTCTCTCGCTAGGACTGTCATTGCTGTTGTACTACCAATTCGAAGACGCCAAGTTTCCGTCGCGAATGACACAAATTGGCGGCGATTACACAGGCGCGGGCCCGCAATGTGAGTCGTATCCTCAGAGTTTGCCATGCTATAGTTTACAGTTCTAATTGTTGTCGACCTGCAGTCCCGATTGAGATCAAGAAATTTGATGCCGACCACGCCGTAGTGCCTCCCAACGCAACAGAATTTCTTTCCGAAGCTACACTCAACCAATGGCGGTCGCTTTTGCCCGGTAAGGGAGGATCCCAGCTGAGATCTCAACTACAAGATTTGTACTTCACTGACACCGTTGTAGCTGGTGCCGGTTGGAAATCTGAGGACGACGGCCCTTTTTTCACCACTACCATGACCCATCAATTGCATTGCATCGTACGTCTCAGCTGGCCCGATTCCCCGAGGATTCAATCACTGACGTCTTCTAGTATATGATGGGACGCATCTACTCCCGGATAGTCACCGACCCGACTGACATGCCTACAGCCGATTCCGATATCCATTTCTATCATTGCATTGATTATCTGAGACAAGCAGCCATGTGCTCAGCAGATCTAGCCCTTGAACCACATTTGATTACGGACGCGGACGATAACGGGCCTGGAGATGGTAGTTGGAACGGCATGCATGGTAGGCAACTCCCCTCCCAACAAACTGTAGATAATTCTTAGCCAAGGTATGTCAATCTCAAAGAGTGAAAACTAACACGGCCTTAACCCCAGTCTGCAAGAATCACAATCAAGTGATTAAATACGTGGATCGTAAGTTCAAGCAAAGAACAACTCCGAAATGACCACATTTTGACACCGAGTAACAGGACAAATCAAGGAAGGCGTTCGTGTGGTTCTGCCGATAGATGACTGAGCACTCCATACTTTAATGAATTTTGATTTCTAGCGTCTACATTCCATCGAGAACAAAATATGACAGTAATACTCTTCGGAACCATCGACGATATCCCCTTAAGCAGCACCGTCGTCCCACACAGTCACTCCCTTTGTTAAAGAGATGGTACGATGGGACAAAGCCACTCATGGAATTGACTTCGGACAACCCAAACAATGTTGGTTCGCGCTGAGACCTACGCCGCAAGCCTCGTCTGCGCAAGACATGATAGGACTGCACCGCACCCAACAGTTGACCTGAGTCTACTTAGTGCAACGGATTGGCGTCAGTTGGTCACGCGTAAGACCAACAAATAAGTTTGAGATCTGTGGTTGGAAATTGTCTTTCATGGATGCCTGTCAGTTCCCCATAATGTCAGCGTCTGGGGGTGGAACTATGCGCATGCCTGCTTTCTAAGTAAATGTACTTTGCTTGCCAGCTCAGTCTGTGACCCAACCCTCCCACAGCCTGATTCACCGGGTACCAAACCCCTCTGAAAGCCAGGCGGTTGGAAAAAACACATTTGATTCTCCTCTGTCCCTCGCCCTTCTCATTCTCCAATCTGCTCACCATCCATCTCGTCCGAGAGTGGAACTAGGCGAGCTAGAGAGCGTTGCGGTCTTTGAAGGGCTCACACTCATCATGCCTCTCCTCGGCCTTGTTTCCTATTACCTCCTCTAAACACGCGTGCGCTGGAAATGCTCTGAACGGTCAGGTTCAATGGCTTCCCGTCGCGTCAAAATTCTACTTTAAGCCCAGTGAACTTTATCCAGATGTTCAACCACAGTGCCTTCGTGGGAGACATGACTTGCCATTCCTCCGACATTATTGACTCCGTGGCATCCACCTCGGCGACAACATCCTCGTCCCCTACGTCGACGGCTTCGACTTTGACAATAGCTTCAACACCGGTTGAAGCACCCCCAACTGCGTTGCCTAGCTCCGGGGGTATGAACAGCGGCGCCTCTGCCGGCGCAGTTGCGGGCATTGCAATGAGCGCCGGCATGGGAATGCTTGCTTTAATAGGCCTAGTGGGCTCTGGTTGGGTCATCTGGAGGCACCTGCGAAAGAAGAAACAGTGTATCGGGAGCGGTGGTGCCAGGGCAAGCGACGTGGGTTATGTTCCTGCTGTCCAGGATATTGGACCCTCTCCTCCAGTTAATTGAATTTTCCTTTTGAGGCTCAGCAATATCGGTATAAAGCTGGTGAGACGGAGAGTGCGAGGGGTGAGATGGCCAGCGAAACAGTCTCAAGTGAAAATTAGAACAGTTTTCTGACGGTGAAGGATGACGGAACATCGAGGTAGCCGTGTGCAACCTTCGTATTGGTCGGAGATGAATAGGACTTACGTTAAAGCCTTTGACACGAGGGCTCAATATCAAGAGTATGATGTGTACTCAGTAGCAACTGAATACAACAAGACTAGCATTGACGCCAGGTTCAGGAAAGCCGTCAGTCTGGCATTTAGCCAATCACCCTTTTCGAGAAGATTGGAAGTCATTATGTAATACCTTACTTGAAGCTTTAAATCCAACTCAAGGGGCCGTCTCTAACTTTCAGATAGCAAGTAATTTGTAGCTGTAGCTCTTTATTTGCAATATTCAACACTCATGCCATTGTTTTGGCACTTGCCTGGTTCGCACAAATGTCTCTCTGACAAGTAATTAGATTAATCATATAGACAACGGATCGATGATGGCGAAAGAAGTGTAGGCTATCAGGTCTTGTTGTCCAACAGAAGCTAGACCTACCTTAGCAATGTACAGGAAACCACAAATGATCATTACGCATAACGCGTCTGTCCCAGGGCAGTTCGTACATATTAAAGGGGCAGCCAAGTTGGGCAATTTACTGTAGCCATGCTTTCACCAAGTTCTTTAGCCCACCCGCCATCCATTCTTCATTAATTTTCGTCATGGCATCAAAACCATGCTCACCAGGCCGGACTGCCAAACTGAACTCCAACTCAGGATCAACCTCCCCAACCAACTCTTTCAACGCGACGTTCCCTTTTGCCGGCACAACACTATCATCAGCACCATGCCACACAAACACACCACCGCGCGGGAACCTCTGCCCAGCCCTTAACCTCTCAAACGGAAAAAGGTGATTCTTCTCGAGCGGGAACATCTTGGGGAACCCGCCGTGTTGCAGATTGGCGAACATGAGGATACCCCTCTCGAGATTCCGGTCGTTGGAGATGAGTGCAGGCGCCTCACCGCTGCGAATCTTTTCAAAATGATCGTCGACGATGCTCTGCGGCAGGGTTAGTCCGAATACCGGAGCCTTCGGCCTCTCCATGAAGTGTGCGTCGGCTAGGTCGACGCAAGGGTAGGCGGCTGTCACGGCCCGGATATCCTTGGCGTGAGACAAACCCGTCATGATGCTCAAGTAGCCTCCCGCACTGTCACCAGCCGTGAGGATCCGATCCGTGTCGACGTCAACCTGGCCGCAAGTCTCCTCCTTGATAAATGAGGCTAGCTCCTTATGAACCCAGGTCCAGTGATCCTCGGTATCTTCAAGTAGATCATCGATAGTGGACTCTGGCGCGAGGCGATAGTTCGGGCTCACAATCACAGCCGAGTGGCGGGCCGCGAGCTCCAGATGCCAGGGCCCGAAGAATCCGGGGTAGAGACTCGCGCCGCCGATGAAGCCGCCGCCATGGTAGCGTAGTATAATGGGGCATGGTGAGGTCGCCGCGGCCGAGGCCTCTATCATCTTCTTCGGAATGAGGACATCGGTGGTTATGGAGTGGTCTGACACTGTCTTGTAAGTTGTCGTCAAGATGGTAAAGTCTGAGAAACGAGACATGTCATCTGGATGCGGCAGGAGATCCATTTTGGCTTGTTGAAGGCGTGTCCGGAGAAAGTGGCTTTGTGAGAAGTGTTTACCAGTTTTGAGGTAATTCGGGGAGGAATGGATTTCTACAACATCTGTTCCAGAGCTCAATATGGGTCTCTCGGTTGCTTTCTGTCCCCGAGAGACAGGTTGACCCGCTGGTACTTATTAAGAAATCTCCACACTAATATTCACTCTCAAACACCCTAACCCCGCGAATAGCATTGACTAGTACTCAGTAGCCTTCGGATGTCGAACATGAAGTTTTGGAGCCACGTGCTTCGGAATCCGGTTTTGAGTTTCGGGAGCCAGCATCCATAGTCTCACCTTGGACCAAACTGCACGAGCTTTAGCCCGCAAGCCTCGGAGTCCGCGCCGGTGGTAGATGAGAATTGGGGACTAATAGGTCTTTAAATCCCACCCTCGGGCCGGCAATGACGGACGGCATGTATCCGTATAGAACGAGGGCTCTCTAACCGGGCGACCAGGGGCGTCAAGTTAGGCCTCACATGATCGCGTTCATGGCCCATCCCATATCTGACGTCAAGTCCCTGAAGTTCGGTGGACAGGAAGCCATCGCGACGAGTTCGCCGGCGTCACTCTTGGGTAGATTTCCATATTCAGAATATGTTCAATACCAATATGGATGGAACTAAGTGAGGCGTACAGCTCTCTCCTCACTCATGACTCAAATCCATAACTCTAAGCTGGTAACGGAGGAAGCCTCCCGGCCACAAAATGAAGCCTCGTTTAACATTCAGTGGGAAGGATCGCCGTTACCCTATGCTGGAAGAGGTTGGTAAGAACTTTGAGATCGGATAAAGTGCTATGAAATAGTAAATTAGTTGAATACTCGCGAAGTCGAATTTGTTGCGTAATCTACGATGTCGGCAAGTTTAGAAGCTAGTTTTGTTGAATAAGTCAACCTAGCCCTCTTGACAAGCACCAAAGATAACAAGGCAATCATCTTCAAAGATATAGTGGTCTGCAACAGCTCTTGCCATCTCAAGCATGCTTTCCGCTACATGGTGAAAAAGAGACTCAGGCTGGGAAAATCCAGAGAGATGCATACTCGATCATTCTTTTTGGAATGACTTCCCTGACCGTTGCGGAATAGGCTAGCGAGATATCTGGTAAGTTAGTTTTTGCTACTATCGATGATCAATTGTTCCAATTGCTATTTACTACGGTACTTATAAAGGCTATTTGTGGTACATCATCAATCTTCTTTGCTAAGCGCTATCCCCTGTCCGCGGCTCCACGCCCAAACCCCCTCGGGTGTTTTATGTCGCTATAACGTTGTTGCTCGCTGTCCTTCCGTAAGGTCGCCTGCCCAAAAAATCTTGTCGTCTGACTGGGCGCACGGCAGGCTGTGTGGAGGAGTTGCTAGTGACGTCGGAGCTTACTTGAGGGAGCTTTGTATTTGCCCCCTTGGACGGCGGCCCTAGTTGCCCTCAATATATCAGCAGATAGAACGCCTGTTGATGAGATCGTGATTAATGAAATTACCACTCATCCCACTGATATTCGCGGAGTCTCGGCGTCGCAAAACATACTGCAAGGAAGATAAAATTAGGTAGCCCGTTGGCAGTGATCTTCGAAGTCCTGCTTCGTGGCTTGAAGAGCTCGGGTAAAGTGCTTTGCGGGGGGTCAGCTTCTGCCTTCCTGAGGCAAAGAGCGTGCTCAAAGAGACTCTGCTAGGAGAGAGTAGTAATGCCAGTGATGCGTTAGCGATAGTGTGGACCACAGAAAGGCATAATGCACAGTCGCATCACTAGCCACAGCTTGTGTTGTGTCATTGAAACTAAATTGTACATGGTTTATTGTAACATCAGCCGCCATCGATGGCAGTCATCTAGGCTAATCCTCAAAGGTTTGGCCGCAGTAAGCAATTCGACATTGTCGATTTGCTCATGCGTACCTTTCTACACAAACACAGAGCCACCAGCCAGACTAGTAGAGCCAGCATTCTGAAGAGCCTCACTCTGTTCTGTGCTGGTGGCGATCTCTATCAACGAGTCTAGAGGCGGGGATTCCGGCCTCGACCTTGCTCGTAGCCGTGGCAAAGAAGCGATCCATCAGCTGATGGGCAATTGCTGGTGTTTCGGTGACAGAGTTGTTGCTCAAATGGGAGACTCCATCCATAAACGAGCCCGATGAGACTCTGCTGCTTGTTGGAGTGTTTGCCTCACACCCTTCGCTGCGAGAAACTGTGCTGGAAGACGTGCTCCTCTAGTCCACGTTACGTTCAGCAGTCGGGGCACCACCACGCCAGAGACCGTAGAAACCGTCACAATTCTTCCACATCTTGATCGTGCCGTCCTCGGAGCCAGTTCCGTACAGCTTGCCGTCGGGGGAGAAGGCGATGGACCAGATAGGGCCATGGTGCCCCTTGAGAGTTTCTGATAGCATGTTAGTGGGTATCCTGCGTCCAATTTTTGATCCCTCAACTGACCAATCTCGCCAGCGTCGTCCCAGCGGCAGACTCGTGCCCAGGTACCCGGCTCTTCGCCCATGATAACCTTGCGACCCTTAAGGTCCAAACCCACGCTGGCAACACCATGCTTCAGTTCTAAGCGCTTGAGTTCGTCCATCGCTTGCGGGCCTCCCCAAAAGTATACCCACTTGCCGGCCGCCACAGCCAAGACAGGAAGGCCGCCTCCAATATCGCCGGGAGAAGTGTACTCGGGCGCCAGAGAGACGAGCTCGCAGGACTTGATTTCGCCGTCGAGGACCTCCTGGCGAATGACGTTACGGGTGGGCAGGTCAAACCACCTAAGGGTGTTGTCGGACGCAGTGATGATCGTGTTAGGATCCTTGGTCCAAGCAATGAACTTGATGGAGCCAGTGTGGGTGCCTTCGCCAATCTCAAAGCCAGCCGAGGCAGGCACGGTGATGGGCGTACCGGCTGGAGAGTCGGGATCTGGTGCGAAATCGCTGAGGTCGAAGACGCGAAGCCTCTTCTCCATGCCTCCTGTCGCGATGAGCTCGGAGTTGTCAGGTGGGTAGGCGACGGCGCGGACAATGTGGTTATGCTGAAGGGTGTAGAGGACCTCTCCGCTGTGAGTGTCCCAGACCTTGCTGCTGGTCATTAGTCGCGATTCGGAGTATGAGTGATGTGTGATATGACTTACGCGGTGAAGTCGGCAGAGGCGGTCGCCGCGTTGGAGGCATCAGGACTCAATCTGGCCTGCCAGACGGCACCCTTATGGCCAATGAAGGTTCCGATCCTGTGTGAGCACTCGTGAGCCACGCGCGGTCAACTGTTCTAGGAGGAGGAAGCTACCAATCGCCAGTAACGCCATCGCGCAACATTGGGTTTCCATCTGCGACAGGTTAGCAAACCCCTGTTGGCAGCGCGGGATCATCCATATCCAGCTCACCCTTGCAAGCCGAGATCATGTAGTATTGCTCGCCCTTCTCAAGGCCAGAGAAGCAGACGTGGGGAACAGGTCGAGAGTGACCATGGCAGGTTAGAGGAACATATTGACGCGAATTCTCGGTAGCGGGAGGGGTAGCAGCGGCCATATCGTCGTTGACGTGACAGGTTCGAGGTACTAAGTGCTTGTTTGCGTTCGTGGTAGTCGCAATCGCAACGTTTGCGCTGTGAAGGGGTATCGAGTTGTCGACAAATCGGATGCTTTGTTGTTCCTGACGATTGGCAGTTGAAGAAGACAGGGAAAAAGAAGAACCAAAGTCAAGGAGAGTCAGTAAGGTACAGCCGTTACGTCGTTAATATCGTGAGTAGTGAGTACGATGGATCGAGTGAGTCCTCGAAGGGCAAGCAGCGCAGCAGTAGCAACAGTAGCAATAGCTCCACGAATGAGAGCGAAAGCACATCAAGGGGAAGAAAAAATGAGGATGGGGAAAGCTGCAGGAGGATGCGAGAAGCAATGGGAGAGCCCGGGCGGCGCAAATGGAATAATAGTGGGGGGCTCCCCGAGTCGGAGCAAGGCCGGTTTGCGCCTGGATTCTGTCGGGTGCGATTGTTTGCTGCGAGACGCTGCAAGAGCAGGTGGAAAACGTGAGAGTGCCTGATGGAAGGTTCGATTAAAGGAGGCACAAAGGTGCACCTTTGCACCTTGTGCCTTGGTCCTTGGAACTTTGGAAGGAGTCAAGGAGATTCGATGGACCCCTGAAACCAGGCCGGTTCTGCCACGAACAGCCAGAACTTCAGTGTGACCCCGCGCTGCTTCGCGCAGGTCGCGGATTCTACCTCCCTAATGGGAGGGGCCTGCTGAGGTAAGCGCCCATGACTTGAGGCTTGAAGGGCTTGCCGGCCCCGCAGATGTGGCTTGTACACCTCAAGCCGAGCGTTACCTAGACACTGTGGCGCATTGGACCGTTCCCGCTTCCGTCGTCGTCGTCGTCGTCGTCTAGCTACCTACACTACTTGACGGTACCTTACCTCCATAGCTTAAGGTGAGGAAGGTATCGCCCTCCACCACGAATCAAAACAACACAGGACACTTCCACGGAGGCTTCTACCAAGGTACGAGCGAGCTTTCCACACAACTGGACTCTTTTTGATACCTACTTTTCCCGACCTCCATAACAGATTGCCAGCAATGACGACATACTTCAAGCTATCCGCCCAGGTGTCTGGCCACGATTCAGACGTAAGTAAACGAACCTTCAACGCTCTATTCGTCAGCTAATGTGTACGCAATCCACAGGTCAAGGCAGTCAGCTTTCCTTCTCCTCAAACACTACTCACTGCCTCTCGAGATGGCAGTGTACGAGTCTGGCGTCAAACGTCTGGGCCCCCACCGACTTTCGAACCTTCAATCTCAAGTCAAACGTCCGAATTCGTCAACGCTGTCACATACCTTCAACCCTCTGAAGCATACCCAGATGGACTGATTGCCTCCGGTGGCAAGGATACCATAGTCGAAGTCAAACAACCCCAAGCTGCTCCGGGTGACAACGCCGAAAGACTTTTGATTGGTCACTCCCAAAACGTGTGTACTCTGGATGTGTCGCCCAAGGGATCCTACCTTGTATCAGGCGGGTGGGATGCTCAGGCCATCGTTTGGGATATCAACACTTGGGAGCCTAAGATTCGCCTCAGTGGCCATGATAAGAGTGTGTGGGCTGTCCTTGCTCTCGACGAGGACACGGTAGTCACGGGTTGCGCCGATACAAGCATCCGCATTTACAAGCTTCCCTCCGCCATTGCCGGAGACGCCGAACCACAGTCAACTATTCACACACCTGAGGTTATTCGTGCTCTCGCAAAGGTTCCCAAGGGCCATGCGAGTGGAGCTGATATCGCAAGTGCCAGCAACGATGGCATCATCAGGCTGTGGAAGTTGAACGGGCAGCAAGTTGGGGAGCTAATCGGCCACGAGAACTTCATCTACGCTTTGACAAGTCTTCCCTCGGGTGAATTAGTCAGCTCCGGAGAGGATCGCACTGTACGGATATGGAAGGGAAACGAGTGCATTCAGACCATCACACACCCCGCCATCTCAGTCTGGGCTGTCGCTGCGAACCAGGAGTCTGGCGACATCATTACAGGAGCCAGCGATGGTATTGTGCGTGTCTTTACTCGCAATGCTGAGCGGGCAGCCAGTGCCGATGCCATCTCGGCGTTCGAGGAGTCGGTGAAGGCTTCAGCAATTCCTCAGCAACAATTACCAGACATCAACAAGGAGAAGCTACCTGGTCCCGAGTTCCTTCAGTCTAGGTCGGGTACCAAGGACGGCCAGGTGCAGATGATCAACGAGGGCAATGGCCTGATCACTGCCCACCAATGGTCCCAAGGTGAGTTTGATCTCGAGGCACCAGTCCCGATACATGGCTAACGACGTACAGGTCAACAACAATGGATCAACATTGGCACCGTGGTTGACTCCGCTGGAAGTAGCGGGAGGAAGACAGAGCACAATGGCAAGTCTTATGACTACGTTTTTGATGTTGATATTGAGGACGGAAAGCCACCCTTGAAGCTGCCTTACAACCTGTCCCAAAATCCTTACGACGCAGCGACAACGTTTCTCAATGACAACGAGCTACCCCTGAGTTACCTGGACAACGTGGCCGGCTTCATCACTCAGAACACCAAAGGTGCTACTCTAGGCCAGTCAGCACCCTCGGGTGGCGCTGATCCTTACGGCACGGAGTCGAGATATCGCCCTGGCGAGTCCGAAACTGCAGCGCCTAATCTGCTGCCGCACACCGAGTACCTCTTCATCACGGCCGGCAAATACGATGCCATGATTAACAAAATCCTCGCCATCAACACGAACATGATTTCGTCCGGTCGCAAGGACGCTGCCCTGAATCCCAACGAGCAAAGCATACTTAAGGCTGTCAAGGAGGCCATTGAATCTTCGACGGCCGTTAGCCAACAAGGCATCGATCTCGCGGTCAAGATCGTGACACACTGGCCTTATGCCGAGCGCCTCGCTGGCTTGGATCTGTTAAGATGTGTTGCGCCGGCACCCCTTGCTGCTGACCTTGCACTTCCGGGTGCTTCTTTCCTCCAGATTGTTGCGACGAGCGCTTTGGAGGCGACAGACGGTGCCGCGCCCAATGAGAATTCGGCTATGATGGCACTCCGTGCATTTGCCAACATATTCAGCTCCCCTAAGGGTCGAGCGCTAGCCGCGAAGGAGGCTCCTCTTGCAGCGAGCGTTGTCGAGCGTGTGTTGGGCATTTCTGGTGGTGCTGCGATTGGTCCTTCCAATCGCAATGTCCTAGTTGCTGCGACTACTACTTTAATTAACTACGCCGTGCTCGCCTTCAAGGAGAAGTCCAGGCAAGAGTCGAAACGTCTCATCCAGGCCCTCGGAAAGATACTGTCTACGCAATCTGACTCGGAGGTTATCTACCGAGCGCTTGTCGCGTTGGGAACGTTTGCTTCTACCAACAAGGCCGAGGTGAAGAGTCTTGGTGGCGAGGGTTGGATCAAGGGGGCTATTGACCGGATTTCAGAGCCGCGGGTGAAGCATGTGGGACAAGAAGCCCTCCAACAGCTATGAACGGCGCAGGGGTGTAGTGGGATTTATGTGGGTTAATGAGACTTGCGACAGGGTGACGGCTGTGATGGTCCTGAGAGTGCGCGCCTGCTGGCGCTCCCGCGAAACGGGAGAAAGGGGCGAAACGTTGGGAGGGTTGCGGGCGTAAATGGTTAGTTCGAATAGAGAGTCAAATAGCTGGCCATCGTGGACCGCCATCCATAGAGTGATGGATTCCCCAATAGACTATGTGTCATATTGTTCTCCAGTATGGCCAAACTGGTATATGATATAGTTAAGCGTTCGATGTTATGACTACCTTGTTACTAAACCCAGCGTAAGGTAGTCGTATGTCCAATATCGTCGGACAGGACTGCGAAGGGTGTCCAACGAACACGTGCTGGTCAACATTTCAGCATTCCTACGCCAAATCAACGAGGACTAATCTGTTAATGTTTTTGAACATTCCTGAAATTGTGATCGCGATGAGCGAGCATCGTTTGTGGGGTTACTTTGAAAAGGAATAAGTACTTCGGAAAGAAGAGGGAGAAAACCACCTTCGGTCTCCAGCCAGTTGGAGCCATTCCACCATTTCCAACAAAAAAAGAAAAAAAAAAGAAGAAAAAAAAAACGCCGTCCTTTAATGCCTTCCATGATTGTACAGACTTCCTCAAGTTATGATCCATCCATCCCGTCCATAAAGCTCCCCGAATAACTCCTCGTTGAATTTAGGCCGTGTGGCTGAATCACAGCACGACCCAGAGCACACCGAGCAGAAGCGGGAGCAACCTAGCGACAGAGAAGCTCGTTGCTGTCGTCATCCTTGCGGCGGCGGATGTTCCTTGCACATACCCTGCGCCAGACTCTTTTGTCGTGATGGTGTAGACGTCGCCGAAGCCAATATCAGTGGAGTTGAAGCAGTTCGTCTCGTTGACCTTTCCGATTTTTGGGTCGCCTGGCTCAGCGAATTCAATATCGACGCACTATTGTTGTGGTGTTAGTACCTTTCTGCCTCTCTCTCTCTCTCTCTCTCTCTCTCTCTCTCTCTCTCTCCCCTCCCTCTCTGGCTGGGGTAGGGGCGCAGGGAAGACTTACCGAGAACAGAGCGGCGCCGTGTACAGCAAGCTCGACAATTTGGATCGTGGCATGATCGCCGGCCTTGACGGTGGTGTTCGCTGGCAGAGGCACTTGCGGGAGGCAGACGGTGCCCGGGTAAGGGTTCTTGCTGGGGCCAAGGATTTGGAAGACGGGGACCATGGGGAAGGACATATTGAGGGGACCGCCGTCGGGCCCGTCGCTGCCGAAGCCCATGTTGGCATACATCATTGCCTGGGCATGGCCTTGGAACCAGCCTGGTTGGAAGGCGAGGGCACCGCCCGTCGTGGGCCAGTAGGTGCGGTTTTGGGTGACGTGCATGCCGCCGCCTTGGGGCATTGATTAGAGAGGCCGAGTCTTTGGTTTACAGAGTGGATGAGGGTTGAAGGATGGCCGGGGATAGAGCGATGGCGATAGCGACGGAAAGTGATTGATGGCAGAGGAGTGAGGACTTACATGGGTAGTTCCATTGCATGCCATAGGGGAAGGTTTCATTGGTAATGAGGTTATTGCCGCGCCAGCCCGGGTAGGAGATGACGATGTGGGCTGATGCTGTCGCTGCGAGGACGAGTGCTGATAGTGTTGAGAAGAGCATCTTGGCGGTTGTTTGTGCAAGGTGGCCGTCAAAAGTCGGCGATTGTTATATTCCAACGGCGAACCCTTCGCTTTCTTCACTTGGCATCCGTTTCCTGCAAATTTATGCCTTCTTGTTTCACAGCCTTTTTGACTTGTTGTCTGTCTGAGTGCCTGGCTTTTAAGCCCGCCTGGAGATTGTCGAGGTGGTTGGTTGGTCGGATGGTTCGTGTGAGTCTTTGCGGCAAACCTCGCTTGAGATAACAAAAGATTCTCGAAACCAAGCCCAAGCAGAGGAGTCCACAGCTTTGTTCAGGAACAAGGTTTCAGCGAGATCAAAGAATACTATTCTTGTGGCACTAGGTGAGTCGATGAGGAGGGAAAAGAAGGAAGAGGGCGTAAATGGAAGGCGGCAGACCAAGTGATATTTGGGCGGGGATGGGAGCCCGCGTGGTAAGGTACCTGGAAGTCAGGAAGATGGCCCGGCCGACCGATCCAGCCGCCGGGCCATGAAGGCCCATCTCTGCCGTGCCATTGGATTCGCGACTTGCAGCCGTCCAATCGAGTCTGGTCGACCTGGCGTGCGCGTGGAGGTGTGAATGCGACTGGGTGCACTCAATCACACCGGGAAAGGAACAGGAGGACTGGCAGACGGACTGTAGTAGCCGCTGCCCAGTACCTACCTGTTTCCTTCACGCCTTCATCTGCAAGACGATGGGCAGTGGCTCCCGTTCCCCTGCCGGGCTAGCGACGCAGCCAATGGCAGACAGAAGCGCCGAGGCAAGTGAGAGTCGCTGCGGGAGTGGCAGGGGATTATTTAATCGAAGGTGGTTGTTTGGGGGGAAGGGGGGGGGGACGAGGCCAATGAGACGCCGTATCACCTCGGTGGCAGAGGGGATCTCGACGATGTGTAGTGACTCTGGTGAGTGGGGGAGGCGATGGGCAGGGATGCGGCGAGGTGTAAGCGCCGGCTTTACACACCGTTGGCTGCAGGATGCAACCTGGCACCGCTGCATCAACAAATCCCCGTCCTCAGCTTGTGGTTGTTTGTTGGGCCTCGTGGGCCCCTTCGTGCTCATAATGCGTATTTCGTAGAGGCACAGACTAGCGAGCTAGTAACCAACGGTATACCCCGTACTATGTGGTTGACTGGCATTCAACAGGACTGACTACGGTTGGTATTGAGTTCGTGCAATACCTCTCGGTGATGATTTTATCTCGCCGCGCAACATCTAAGTTAAGATGACAGTCCTGGTATGGACGCGTCGGCTCTGTCAACCCCCTCTCTCTTGTGCTCTATGCCATGTGGTCGGTAAATGAGTGAAGGTTTAGATACAGGGTATTCCCGTCGTAGATGACCGCCTGACCGCCGTCGATGCAAGCATAGGGGCGGTGAGCTGACCGGGTTGGGTTGCATCTATTCCGAGATATCTAGCCGCTCGTGAGGTGATGCAGATGAAGAAAGTCAGCCTCGAAGAAAATATTGAACCCAGCCGGTATGGGGGGTGACGGAAGGAGTACGGACGGAGTACCTAGGTGCGATGGCCCGCCAGGGCCTCACCTCACAGACCAGCGACACGTTGTGCGAGGTTTGCAGCTTGCTGCAGCTTACTGTATAAGGTATCTTACTCTGCCTTGCTTGCCTAAGGTAAGGTAGGTGGGTGAGAATGGCCGCAAACACCGTCGGACAGAGAGGATCTTGAATGAATTTGTTTGGAAGTATGAAACTTGGGTCTTTGGGTAGGTACCTTTAATTTGGAGGGAAAGATGGACATTTACGTACGTACACATCATCGTTGCTTCTATTCTTGGCCTTGCTCTTCCACCTACTATTCTGCCGTGAAGGAGTAAGGCTAGATACTGTCAGATTTTAGCTGGAGGCGTGCAACTCTCCGCCTTCCACGTTCCATGTCCTTTCCATCTGTGCGGCTCTAGATACCTTTGGTGCTAATTTCCTACGGCCTGAGGTGAGTTGTGCACCTTCCTATTCTCTTATCTTCCTGGCCTTACGTAATGCGACGAGGAGCTGCGGGGTCTTCACCGCCTGCCAATTGACATTCGTGGACTCCGCCCTATCGGCAGGCGGTGGTCAAATTCTGCCGGACTAAAAGTTCCTCCTACTGACACAGCCTCTCGCTTTCAAGGCAATGCTGTTGACCCCGCGCCGTCGAACACGCCCATCATGGCCACAGCCGAGCGAACCGAGGCCGAGAAACCTAAGCATGACGAATGGATTCACGTTAAATCCAAGTCCCGGCTCCGGCGAAGCGCCCCCAAGCCACCCGTCAAGGGCCCCGTCGTAACTTCGAAGCCCGCTGAACCGCGCACCTACAAGTCCATCATCGACATAACGGCCGAGTACCACTCCTTCAAGTCCAAGTGGCGCGAGACAGCATGTTGCCTCAGTCTGAAGAAGCTGGTGAGGGACAATTGCGAAGGCCATCGGAGAGTTCGTAGGGCACTGTGTCTTGGTGTGGGCACATTCGATCCTGAGGATGGAGGCTGGGACGCAAAGAGGAGGAGTTATATCCAGCTCGACGCCTTTTTGACCGTCGTCGAGGTTTTGTGTATGCCTACGCTTAGCTGTCGCAGTCATATATACCAAACTGCACTGCAAGCTCTCAGCTAACCGAATTCCCAGCCGAAATGTACAAAGAGTCGATACCGTGCTCGTTCCAGGAACCTCGCTTCACCCCCAATGACACAGCATTTCTCACGGAGCTCGGTTATGCGGTTGTTGAGTCCCCCACTGCCTTTAAAGCCATGGATGAAGAGACATTTGTGTTCGCGGTACACATGTATAGACCAATATATGAGGCGACGCTTGAGAGGGCAGTGCCTGCCATGTTTGTCGGGACAGGATGGGACGTTTGGGATGAGTGCGTAGAATTCCTACTCCATGGCCACTCGATGTTTATTGACATTTTATTAGGTTCGCCACGATGAAGGATGGTGAATTCAAGTGTATGAGTAATATGCATGCCTCCCATAAGCACTTCCGCTTCCCACAGGATGGTACATACACCACATTCTCAAGCACGTGTGTGTACTGGCGGCCAAAATCCGAGACCGTGGTTCAACAAGAGACTTCGATCGGCGAGAAAGATGAACCGTCACCTCAAGAAGGTGTCACAGATGTCGCCCCCGGGACAAGTACCCAAATGGAGGATAGCCCTTCAGTTCCTGCAAACTAAGAGTGGGGCTCGGACGTTGACCCTGTCGATAAAGAAGTGAGACTTCAAGTCAAAAATACCCCAAAGAAATCATCATCACCGCCATGAGGCTTTATTTCACTGTACTCGTGAGCTTGTTGTGTTTGCATTGATCATCTACTGGTTCTCTTAATGGTCGCAGAGCCTTGAGGAATCGGCCGGTCCTTTGGGATAAGAACGACACATGTGTCGAAAACATCCAAGCAGCCTCAGAAACATGTATTCCTTGGCATCCATTGCTATCTCATCCTTCTTTGCAACATTTCGGAAGACTTTGGTCCGGCTCCAGGCAGAAACACCCTCTCACTTCTACCAAGTTCAAGACTGCACAGCAAACCCTCCTACACTTACACTGTCCATCACAGCCTTCCTTCCTCTGATTGGTCATCACCCACTCCACCTCCTTGGCACCAAAGAACTGTCCAAAGTCAACACGACACCTCCTCACGTTCACGTCGTCCGATACGACAACATCGACATATGCCCTTACTCCCCAAGAATATTACGTTCCAGATATTCTGGGCCCGAGCCTGTCTCCTTGACCTTGGCCGTGCTCATCACTTAATTCCCCATAACGTGCCCCGGCATAGAAGGCGACATCACCAACATATTCCTTGGCGCAAGGGCAGGGTAAAGTTCCAGGAGAAATACGTCAAAAACCTCGTCATAGCTGCATTATCGTCGTTACCCGATCACTCATTGCGGCTGGTGTTGTAATGATCGTGTACAATCCTCCTGACTTAAGGTACACGACGGGAAGTAGCCCGCGACTTGACTAGCAATTTTAGCTATGCTAAAGGGAACTAACGCTCCGGCTAAGCCACTACCAGCGTCGTCATTTTGTATTGTGCCTGTGAATCTGTGAACGTGCTGCGTTAGAGAGCCGGGGATTCCAGAACATGGGGTTCAAAACTGTACACCATCCACAGTCCATTATCTAACATAGTCAAATCTAGGATCGGATTTAGGGCGGAAACATCGGATTGTCGTGACCAAAGTCTCCCAAGCAAGTACTGACATTGCGTTGGATGATGAGACGTGCAGTATAATGTTGAATAGACTTCTGCGGACCGTGCTGTGCAACATTTGCTAGCTAACCTGAACCTTGACCCTCCAGCTTCAAGGTTGCGGGATATCCTTCATATTACCTTCCATTCCTCGTCCAATAGGTCCTCTAGACGTATTACTTACCCAATCTCACCAGAAACCTTTCATTTGCGTTCGTACCCTGTAGCTTCATTGCATAAATAATCAAGATCAGGGCACCTCTGACAATTCGACTTTCTAGGCCTTTTCAAAAAGATTCTTTCGGGGCCCTTGTCGGGGAATATATAGTTGATGTCCAACAACAATTATACACTTCGGGTCAACGTCGCGAGAGAGGCTTGAACTTTGTCTTATTGAATGTAGGGGAAAGCCCTAGGTTTGGATTGATTAACTGCCCGCTTACTTAAGCTGTGATAATTATGCAAAGGAGAGATTGGGTCAAGACGATAACATACCACCTCAGCTTTGTGAGAAATACACACAAGCGGTAAAACTGCCTAGAAATCCGAGTTTTGTAGATTAACCTATATCCAAACTTGCTGTTGATGGAATCAGAAGAGACTTGCTCTCTGTCATCCGCATTTTCCATGCCGTGAGGCCAAGCGGGGCTGTCTTGAACGCGGCCCGATCCCGAGCTTCCTGATGTTGGATCTCTGGGCAGTAGGCAGAAAAGGTGGACCTGGAAGGCGGTACGGGCCCACCCGTACGGTCTGCCCACTACACACCCGCCACCTCTGGAGGAATCGTGTGCTTGGCCCAATTCCTCCTCCTTCCACCTCACGCACGTAATAGACCAATACAGTACCATTACCTCGTCGCGACCGCAAGGTTGCCCTGCTACGTGTATACCAACACATGGGAATTTGATTCCGGCCTGGAGATCCGCTCGGCTGCGGAGCGCAAGTATGATAATGGTCATAACCGGAATTGGCCGTGCGTAGCTTCGAGAAACCCCCCGAATCATGAAATGGATGACTTTTCGCGGCACAACCCATCTGGCCGTAGGATGGGCGCCTCTGAGTTCCGGGGCCTCTGTTGTGGTTCTAGTGTAGGTTCTTGTCCTGGGCTTATGCGGGGTTCGTAGCTTACCGCATGATTGCCGGCCGGGGTTCCCAGCCAACATGGTCATCGAACAAGCTGCGGAGGGGGCACAGGGGGCAACATTTCTTTCTTCGGTCGTCGGTCGGACAATAATAGCCTTTCTCCTTCCCTGGACGCCAACTTCACAAACCCCCTCGTCAATGTTCGTCTTATCCCAAAGAGTGATCTTCAGTCATCCAGCTAACCATCATCCTCTGCCAGACGTTCTCTTAGTCGAGAGCTTCTCGCATGGCATCAGCCCTCTCAGATAGCCATCTCAAATGATGAGATCGCCCCATGAATACGACCACGCCAGACTCCGTCTCCCAAGGCCCAACAGCGACTGCGCCGCTGCCGGAATATGTGCCGGGCAAAAGGACCACAAAGAAACGCGTCAGGAACTTTTCCGCCGATGACCGCGCCGCCCATCGAATCTTCGAAAGGGGTCGCCGCGAAGCCTTCAAGGAACGCTTGACTGTGAGCATTAACGGGCGAGACAAAATCAGCTGTTCAACTTGTACCCAAACTGATCATCCAATCCATAGGAACTCGCAGGCCAGCTACCCATTCTCACAGACACTGATCCCGAGCGGCTATCGAAACATGTCGTCGTAAATGAGAGCATTGCCCGCCACAAGCTCCTAGAGAGCCGATGCGTCGACGCTCTTCGAGATATTGAGTCCTTGCTACGGGAGCGTGATGAGCTGTTGGCAGAGATCAATGTCTGGAGAGGCAACGCCGGCGCGCGCCCTCAGCTGCCAAAAGTCATCTCTCATGTCGCGGGTCTCGTACAGACTGAGGATGAAATACTGAGTCGCGAAGCAAAAGGCCACTACGTACGCGAAGTAAATGGCTCTAGCGAAGCTACGGGGTCTCGTGACGCTCAAGTTCAGGCTGCAATAACATCTAGCACCCACCCGAGCAAAGCATCTCACCTTACGCAGCTAGTGGAAGTGGATCAGACACAGGATATCAACTCAGTTTCTGACCTAAGGGACCTGTTGCGCGACACGTCATGGTCTCAAGCTACTCAAATACCTGTACCAGTGTTCCCTCCCGAGCCTGCTCTTACAAGCCCAGACGGCGTCCCAATCATACCACCGATCATCACACAGGAGTCTCTGCGAGTGGCAACGTCCGATGCAAACAACTTTCGAATGTTCGTCGACGTGAATCCAACACAGCAGGCGCTGCTTCTCAACATGGACACAATTCAGTTCCCTATCCCGGACGAAGACTCCGTCGCGCTGCCGAACGTTCTGCTTACGCCTAGCTATCTTTCTCGAACTAGTTTAGATCAAAGCGCATCACTTCAACACTCTCAGCAATGGGTCTCTTGGCATGAATAGTCTATTCACTGTCCACGGTCCTTATGTACTATAGCGAATGCCACTCCATAACTCAATTGTACCCAGGACATACCGACGATTCCGTTCGTCTCAGATCTGGTTGAGAACCTCCTCAATCTTTCCCTGACTGCTCTTCTCACCGCCAATGAAGAGCTTCAGCGCATCTGAGAGCCTAGTCTTCGTAACGGGATCGGCCTCGACAGCCCTCTGCAGCGCAGCACCACCATCGGCGAGGTAGTCAACGTCAGTGCGGGCCAGCTTTCCGTCCCACTCGGCCGCCGCCAGAGGGTCGATGGTGGCAAGCTTTTTCAGCCGCTCGGGGGTCGGACCGATGTCCTTGTAGACATGAACAGGTTTTGGCACGCCTTCGCCTGGCTGCTTGCTCCCGTCGTATGGAAGCTTGGCCAATTGGTCGAGGACGGTATGCGAGATGGTTGCGGAGTGGCATCCCATTTCCCCCGCCGCCATGGCCTCTTTGGCTGAGATGAAGCTGGAATGGATAGCTTAGCGGCGCTTGGAACAATATTAGTTCAATACGCGCTTACCTAGCATTCTTGACGAGTGGTTGTTCTTTGCCGGTCTCATTGTATAGCCGCTTGTATGTCTCAATGATCTGGACGATTCGTGCCGACATAGGGTGTTGCGTTGCTGGGTCTTCGACATTCGGCCAGAGGGTATCCGGTTCATCGTGGGCCCGCACCTCTGCGACATACATCAGTAAACAACGTTCAATAAAGTGGGCGGGTTGGCCTTACCATTGTAATACGGGCTAATGTACAGCATGCCGGCCTGGCTGCAAGCAATAGCTTGAGGCAGACTGAATAGCGCTGTCCCTAGGGTAGGGATCCCTTCCGACGACAAGGTCTTTGCCGCGTTCAAAGCTGGTCCAGTCGATGGAATTTTGATGCAGTATCTATCGCGGCCGATGCCGGCTTTGGCAAATTCGCGGTCATAGAGGCGTGCATGGTCGAGGGTCTCCTGTGTCTTATACGCGTTGGAGGGGAGGGTTTGCAGGAGAACCCGACCGCGAATCGAGTTGATGTTCTTCTTGCACATGAGAACGGCCTGGAGATTCAGCGTCAGCCTATCATTATGGCACCAGGGATTGACTGAGTGCAGACCATGCGAGTGTAGATGGCGAGCCACCCTTCGTTCTTCAGTTGCTTTGCAGTCTCGAGGAAAAGGTCTCTGTTCGATGAATGGCCAAGCTGGATATCAACCCATAGCTGGTTGCTCGTCTGGTCGTGGGGAACAATGGGCATGCTCTTGATGTATTCGGGATCCATCCAATCGACATCGACATTTACTATGTTATGTTAATGGATGTCCAGGCTTCTGTGAGGTGTATCCAGGCGTAGGTTTTAACTTACTCTGTTCCTCAAGCTTATCAAGCCACGTGATGGCGCCCTGGATTCCCATGATTGCGGATCAGACGTAGGTCTTGCTGTATCTCGAGGTCGTGGCGTTCTGTTGCTTACAAGTCTCAATCACTTGATCTTCACAGCACGTTTCTGAGCCCAAAGAAAGTCTCATTTAATAGCAAAAGAATCACCTTAAATGAATCGGCATGGATATCTCTAGAACGACTGTCTCATGCTCTGCATGTGGCGGCATCTTCGCAGTCGTCACTAGACTTATCGGTGGTCCCATTCTGAATACTGTAGGACCAATCATGCGAACATCTTTCGGAACCCCCAGGATGCCACACGCAGGTCAATATAAGACAACACGCAGGGCACTATTGACCCCGCACTCCGGGGGCTTTTACCCATGTTCATCTTCTGTTCACATCGATGATCGGAGGAGGCAAAGAGGATACTCTGGGGTAAGCGTACCGATACGACTGTACAAGGGACCTCTTTCCCGGGTACCGGCGCCCCCACCTCTATTTTGAAACTAGTGTGGAAGACATCGTCAATGTTACGACTTCACGTTTGATAAGGATGCCCTGAACATGTCTGGTCAGACCGTGATGGGATGCGAAGTTGTGATAGTTTGGGGATATCAGATACCCTCCAAACTCATTTTGATGACACTCATTACGACCTACTTTGATATTGACTACCCCCACGAACCCCGAATCTCCCAATTGGGCGATGGGCCTTCACCAATTAGGGCTGCGCGGCCGCCTCCCCAACTATCTAGCATCAAGGTTCCAACACCAACTTTTCATCCACATCGCCCTGCACAGGCCAGAGAAACTAGCGCGTCTTAGCCTGTTGCCCAAACTCTCGAGTTCATGGACACACACAGGGCAGCCCCGCACTTAACCCATCCTAAACAAACATTACCAGGGGATGTCCTGCACATGGAGGTTTGCTGCAGCGTGTTTTGGTCACGGGTCAGGTCCGAAGGATCCCCCCAGCGGTTCACCAGCTGATGGGACTAAGACGTCTGGCCTTGGTGACGAGGCCGCGGTGAAATTTCATCCGACACCACGGGGAACGATGCGGGAACCGGGGAGGAGCAACTAGGATGTGAGGCATTCATGTGACACAAGTTATAAAGCAGCCTCCTTCGTGATCGTTTACTACCTAACTAACACCAGCGTCGGCTTACTTCATCGTCCTTCTCATATCAGCTTTTTTCTTGTAGTTCAAAGAATCCAGCCACCATGTCCAGCGTATTCGATGTTGAGGGCGACGTCAAGTCAAAAGTTGATGTCAGTCATGTTGAGCACACGGATGCAGACTACAGCCGTAACATCGATGCAAAGTGAGCGGTTATTGACTCAGATTTCTTTCGTGAATAGCAATTGACCACGACAAGTAGAATCCACAATCCACTCATCGGAGTCTCCAAATCAGATCTTCGCGTCCAGGTGTCTGGATTTTGCCGCGAGTATGGCTTCCGTGAAAAAGAGGATGTCTTCTATCGCGGTGCCCTCGCAGCTCAAAACCCAGACACGTACAATTCGCTCGAAGAACTCACTGAGGATGACAAAAATGTGCTCCGACGGGAGGTCACCCACAAATGGCATCTTCCACGGGACCTCTACTGTAGCATCGCCCTTTGCTCACTCGGCTCTGCCATTCAGGGATGGGACAACACAGGTGCCAATGGCGCCAACCTCTCGTTTCCTCAGGAGTTTGGCATCGTGGACAGACAGACACTAGTTGGTGTCATTAATGCCGGCCCTACATTGTTCGGTCTCCTGAGCGCGTGGGCTGCCGATCCTATCAACAACTGCTTAGGTCGCCGCGGAACGATTTTCCTGACCGGCCTGTTTTGTGTGTTTCCCGTTCTTGCCCAGGCTTTCACGCAGAATTGGTGGGGCCTTTTGATTTGCCGTCTATTCATGGGCTTAGGAATGGGAGTCAAGATTTCAACAATTCCAGTTTACTCGGCCGAGGTTGCGCCTGCTTCTATTCGCGGCGGAGTCGTCACGAGCTTCCAGCTGTGGGTCGCTTTTGGAATCTTTATAGGCTTCTGCTCCAACTTGATATGGTTTCGTATCGGGGATTTAGCATGGAGATTCCAGTTGGGTGCCGCCTTTGCTCCTGCTATTCCGGTCCTCATCTTTGTTTGGTTCTGCCCCGGTATGTATCGTGGTTTTCAGTTCCTTACTTCAGACGTCTGACTAGGGATATAGAATCTCCCCGCTGGCTGATGAAGAAGGGCCGCTACCAAGAGTCCTTCAAATCCTTCTGTCGCCTTAGAAATAGCGAAATGATGGCTGCTAGGGACTTGTACTACGCTTATAGACACAACTTCCCTCTCGCCTAATTTTTCTTGGCATCTGCTGTTAGTGAATGAGTGAGCCTACCACCAAATTACTAACAGCCGAAAACTCTTCACCTCCCCTTGCCGGAGCCCGCATCCGCGATGGCCTCACAGCCGCCGTCGGGCACCGGACTGATGTCGGCCGACCAAGCCGACCCCGAACCAGGCTCCGGGACACCTCCGGAGCCGAACCCCACCTCAAGAGCTAAGCGACGCCGCGACGCCGAGGCACAGCCGACCCGGCCCAGCCTAACGGGAAGCCAGCTTGATGCCACCACCGACGCCCCTACCTCGGCCGAGGGGCCCGCAGCCTCTACCGCATCTGCTCCGAGCGGATCTGCCACAGGGTCCGTCTTGACAGCCCTTGCAGAAGAAGCTAGACAGTACGAGGCACGGAAAGACGTCTTTCTGACCATTGCACGGTCCGTCGACAGCGTTGTCGCCAGCTTTGACGGTTCTAGAAAGCAGATCGCGAAAGAAGCCACTGCCTATGTCATTCAAACCCTCAAGAGACTGATCAATCACGAGACAAGCCCAATAGCGGCCCGGAGTTGGGCGGCTGTCGTCGCACCGATGGCGGGCAACACCACTGCGGCGACCCGGAGCGGCCAGAGCTGCCAGAGCTCTGCCCGCCCGAAGGCCACACTCCCCGCCGAGGATCAGCCGCAGGCGCAGCCGAAGGAGGACCTCCGCATCTTTGCCCGCGTCCCGGAAGAAAGCTTAGCGGCCGCTCGGAAGATCGCACCGTTCGCCGTACGACAGATCGTCTGTAAGGCCGTTGGCCTGGGGCTAGCGGACCTTCCCCACGTCTACCATATCAGCACAGGTTACTCTCTGAAGCCGCGAAACAAGCAAATACAGGAAAGACTACTTGCAAGTAAGGCAAAGCTGGCGGAATGCCTCGGCGCCCACCAGGTCGAGACGCCTATCAAGTGGTACACTTACGTTGTGCCGCGATGCCCAACAAAACTACACAGCATTGGCGGGGACGTCCTGGACCCAGCCACACTCGTTGAAGATGAGGTCTTCGCACAGACAGGACAGAAGCCTGTCCTTGCTCGACCGTCCCGCCTTGGGCCCAACCCAGTCACGAACGAAATATCTTGGCTCATATCATTCACATCAGAGGTCACGCCCTTCAGGCTCTTCAACCAAAGCGGCAGATCTCTGCCCGTCAAGAAACGAAGGACGCTCATCCGACACGACCCCGGCTGCCAGGGCTACCACTCCAACCGGTTCTGCGGACGACGACCGATCTGCAGCAACTGCGGAAGACCTTCCGATTCACACGAAACGGGACCCTGCATGGCCAGGCCCCAATGTGCCAACTGCTGCGGCCCCTTCCAAGCCAGCCACACAGACTGCCCAGCGAGGCCCTCGGCCGTAAACGGCGTCGTCTCCCTTCCCGGTCGAAAGGAGCGGGCTCGGATCCGGAAGGCCGGCCAGAAAGCATCGGACACTCTGTACAAGGCTACTCGATCCGACAGTAGCCAGGAGGCGGCAGGCGTCCCTACCTCCACCAGCCAGAACCAGCAACCCGGCGCCAAGCGCGCGCGCACGAGAACGCCCTCCGCAAGCTCGATCGTTTGCCTCGGTGACGGAAGCACTGACAGCAGCAGCATGGATGAAGACGAGGCGGACGAAGGCGAAGGCGAAGACTCCCCCGACAACACCTCCATCGACCGTCCCGTGCTACCCATGCCAAGCAGGAGCCAACGGGCAGCACAGAAGCCAAACTACAACGTCGCGAATGCCTACACCCACCTCGAACTCGACTCGGAGACGTAAGCCGAGAGCGGCGACCCCACGGATGCTACGCGTTGCGCAGGGCAACGTCGGAAAGATCTCCCCGGCGCACACGGCTTTCCTGCAGCTCTGCTGGGAGGCTCAGATAGATGTGGTCCTCGTCCAGGAACCCTGGACGGGCTGGAAGGACGGAAACGTGCAACTGAACACGCACCCGGGTTTCGACTCTTTCGTCCCGGTCGACTTCTGGGACAGCGAAGGAACCAGACCAAGAGTATTGACCTACACACGCAAAGGGATAGGGATGACGGTGGAGCAGCAGAGGCCTGTCCACACGAGAGACGTACTGTGGCTGGTGGTCGACAAAACGACGACTATCGTCAACGTGTACAGACAACCCCGCGACCCCCACAGCCGCACAACAGGGATACTGCTAGAACTCAAACCCCCGGAGCGAGCTTTGATCGCGGGTGACTTCAACGCGCATCACTACTCTTGGGAGCCCGGGACGAGGAACGGGAACCGGGGAGATGACATCGCAGGCTGGGCAGACGGCCACAATCTCTCTCTTATCAGCGAAGTTGGGGTGGCAACCCAGGATTGCGGACATGTCCTGGACCTGGCTTTCTCTAATATCCCTTTTGCGCACGCGCAGGTCAGCCCACAGCTACACCCGGGAGCTGACCACGAGGCCATCGTGGCCGTCATACCACTACTCAAACGCCCAGTGTCACAGGGAGAGGGCCACCCGCAGCCACGGCCACTGTCAGTGCCCGACTCGGCGCTGCCTCGGCTGAGAGACCTGATCGAAGGGGGGCTAGCTGCGATGCCCAATCTGGGGGATCAACCTACTCCGGAAGACCTGGACGGGCAGGCAAGTCACATCGTCGAGCTCTTCTCCCGAGCCATTGAGGCGGTCGGCAAGAAGAGAGGAAAACATGGTAAAGGCGCGGCTTGGTGGACGGAGGAATGCGCAGAGGCCCACAGAGCATACCGTGCTGCCCGCAACCAACAAGCCTGGGAGACGGAGCAAGATGCGCACCTTTATCTAATGGAGAAACGAAAGGCGTTCCTGAGCACGGTGAGGAAGGCTAAGCGAGCATACTGGGCCGGAAAGATCGATGGAGTCGCTTCAGACCGGGACCTGTACCAGATCATGGGTTGGCGGAAGGCGAGCCTACTGACCAGAGCACCCCCATTGGTTGTGGACAACCAGACGATCGAGGATACTAACGAAAAGGCTCAAGCGCTTCGGGGAGCCCTTCTCGACAGGTTTAGTGCGGAAGATGACGCACCGGGTGACCCGTTTGACGTACCCGTCGTCCCGAGGCGAGCGATTACTTGGCAGGACAATGTTAGCGGAGAAGAAGTGAAGACGGCCACCTTAACAAAGACAACGACCCCTGGTGTGGACGGCATCACAACACGCCTCCTCCAGGCATGCTGGGATGTCATCTCGGAACCGGTCAGGCAGCTATTCCAGTCCTGTATGCGGGCCGGCCACTTTCCTCTGCCCTTCCGCAGAGCTGAGGTGGTCATGATCCAGAAGGCCGGCAGGGATGCCTCCAAGCCCGGGTCCTGGCGGCCGATCGCGCTCCTCTCGTGCCTGGGCAAGGGACTAGAGCGACTGATAGCCAGAAGGATGGCGTCCCTGGCGATTGTCGAGCGCATCATCAGTCCGCAACAGATCGGGGCTCTACAAGGCAGGTCAGCCGTCGATCTGACGACCTGCCTCACCCACGACATCGAGATGGCCCTCCTAAAAGGACTCACGGCGACACTTCTGACTATGGACGTAAAAGGGGCGTTCGACTCCGTCCTTCGGAACCGGCTCGTCATTAGACTGCGTCAGCAGGGATGGCCACATGGCCTGACCAGACTGATCTTTAGCTTCTGCTGCAACCGCACCGCTAGAGTCCGACTGGAAGAAAGCACAACGGAGTACTTCCCGCTGTCATGCGGGCTGCCTCAGGGGTCACCACTATCTCCCATTGCCTTTCTGCTCTACATCGCAGAGATACTTGAAGACGACCCGAACGCGCGATTCGGGTACGCGGACGACATCGCCACTCTGGCCATCAGCCCTCCCTGGAGAGCAACGTCGCAATACTCAACCGAAGCGCAGCCGGCATTCTCAGATGGGGCTTGGAGAACAAGGTCTCCTTTGACCCGAGCAAGTGCGAGGTCATCCACTTTACTAGGAAGCACGGCCAGCCAGCGGAGCTGCCAGAGGTCCGGGCGGGGGATTTGGTGGTCAAGGCCTCGACGAAACCTGTACGCTGGCTGGGTGTCTGGTTCGACAAGAGACTGTCCTTCCGGCACCATGTCGACGCAAAAGTAGCTGCAGCAAAGAGGGCAGCTCAACATCTGAGACAGCTTACGAACACAAAGAGGGGACTCCCAGCGGCCGCCGTGCGAAAAGCCGTCGTCTCCTGCGTACTGCCGATCGCGCTCTTCGGCGCCGAAACATGGTACGCAGGTATCACGAAGCCGGCTTCGAGACGCCAAGCGGAGACAGACACGAATCCGCCTCTCCAAGGAAGACCCGTCAACACAGGCCAAAAGGGGCTCGTGCAGAAGATCGACAGCGTCATTACAGCGGCAGCAAGGGCCGTTCTGCCTGTCTGGAGGACAACGCCAACCAGTAGCCTCCTCCGAGACGCCGGCTTACCGTCAGCCAAAGTCGCCTTAGAGGGCGTCCGCTTACGGGCCGCAGTCCGACTACAGAGGATTGATCGCCGACACCCGCTAGTCGCGCGGCTCTCCCAGCAGGGACAGCAACAGACGAGACTACAACGGACGGCTGAACTTCTGCCAAGATGCGGAAGACCAGCGTTCCTTCAATCACAGTACCTGCCAAGCTCACAGGATCAGATAGTAGTTCAATGCAAAGAAGAGGCTGCGAAAGCTTTCGAGCGCTGGCTAAAGACAGTACCGGAAAGCCATATGATCGTCTTCTCGGACGGCTCCAGGGCGACGAACGGAGCCGTGGGGTACGGCTTCGTCATCTACCGAGACTCCAAACGCATAGCACAAGGGTGCGGCCGACTCGGACTAGCAGAAGTGTTCGACGCCGAGGTCGAAGGGGCGCGAACCGGCCTCAGAAGGGCTCTGCTCACCAATCGCGGTCATCCAATCCACATATGTATCGACAACACCAGCGTTATACAAGGCATCCGCGGCAAGGCGCCGGACTCGTCACAAGACGCGTTCCTCGAAATCCAAGAAGCGGCCAGGATATTTGATATACGGACGCACTGGTCCCCGGGACACCAGGGCATCGAAGGAAACGAGGCCGCGGACCGGCTGGCCAAAGAAGGAACGACACTGCCGGCGCGGATGGGTCAAATGGCAACACTAGCGGGCATCAAGCGGCTTGCAAGGGAAAAATTACAAAGCCAGCACAGGAGATGGTGGTATAAAGAGCGAAGGCCGCGGTACGCGGACTTGGGGCTTGAGGCAGCTCTGTCCAGCCCTCCTGAACTGGCCTTGCCGCGGGCTACGTTACATCACCTGCTGGCGGCACGATCGGGTCACGGGGACTTCGAGCAATATCACCGACGTTTCAACCACGACGACGCTCTAATGATGTGCTCTTGTGGAGAGGCGAAAGACGTGGACCACCTGGTCTACTGTCGACTAACGCTGGCGAGGAGGCAACGGTGGCCGACCCTCCACTCTCGCAGTATGCCCGAGCCCATAGGCCCTATGGGATCTCTCGAGGCCTACTTCAAGAGATTAATCACCGACCCACGAGGCTTCGAGGCCTTTCTCCGCGTGACGGACTTCTTCCAGAAGATCTGTCTGCGGTAGCAGCATCCACACCTACGTAGATGTGAGTGCGGACTACAAAGAACCTCCCGATTCCAAGGGACGATTTGGGAAAGAATGAAACTGGGGCACCAGCGGGAACCGGGGACAGACAGAACGCGTAGTGGCCACAAGGCATGATTTGGAGGACGATGTAAAGAGACGACGTACTGTAGAGTAGGTAGCCTTGGCTCACGGCCCTCCACGCCATATACCCTTCGGGAGGTCTGCGGTAAGGGCTCTAGCCCGGCCGCCACGGCGTTAAATACAACAACAACAACAACAACATACGCTTATAGACAAGTCATTGCAGAGAAGGACGCGTTCGGTGGTCAGACGCTTTTGCGGCGAATGACAGACTTGCTTGTAGTCCCCCGTCTCCGTCGTGCAACCATCGCCTCATCTTGGATAGTAATCTCGCAACAGTTTAGCGGAATCAACATTATGGCGTTTTACTCTTCGACAATCTTTGAGCAAGCTGGATACTCCGCCCGACAATGTCTCCTCGCCTCTATGGGATTCGGCCTCGTCATGTTCGTCTTCGCCTTCCCGGCGGTGTACATGATGGATACTTTCGGTCGGAGAAATCTCCTCCTGATCACCTTTCCCAACATGGCTTGGTGTCTGTTGGCTTCGGGCCTTTGTTTCCTTATCGATCAAGGATCAAGTGCGAGAGTACCGCTCATTGCATTCTTCATCTATCTATTCACAGCGATGTACGGGCCAGGTCAGTGCGATAGCAAATTTCCATTCCAAGTCCCAGAAATGCTAAAAGACGAACAGGCATGGGTCCTCTCCCATCCATTTACTTTTCAGAGGCCTTCCCTCTGTCTCATCGGGAGATCGGCTCAGCATTTACGATCTGCGTGAACAATGCGGTTGGTAGTGCGCTCACTTTGACCTTCCCCGAACTTCTGCATAAGATTGGACCGACCGGGGCATTTTGCTTCTATGCCGGTCTCAACCTACTCGCTTTCATCGTCATCTTCTTCCTCATTCCAGAGACCAAGTGAGTTCATGTTTATACCGCTCAGAAAGCCAAAAGAAATTGCTGACTCAAAGCACTAGACAACGGACACTGGAAGAGCTAAACTACATTTTTGGAGTCCCCACACGTCGCCATGCTGCCTATCAGGTCCGTACATGGCTACCATGGTTAGTGAGGAGATATATTCTTTTACAGAGAAACGCTGAGCTCGAGCCACTTTACCATCTCGAGTGAGGAAAGGAGTCAAGGCTGTTACAAGGGATGAGAGGATTCCTCCGGTAGACAGGCAGTCTAGTTACGTTATCTGCATTAGGGTGGACTAATAATACACAAGTCGAAGGAGGTTATTCTCAATGGCAATAGTGGTCCCGATGCTCCCAGGACCTTTTGATAAGACGGCTTCCAACATCTGTTCAGAGATGGATAGATCGCCAAATTCTCAGTCTTCGCAGGGTCGTTCTCTCAATACATGATTGTTTGAATGCAAGGACACATCTCCATGTATTTAGCATCGACTAACATATAGTTGCGTAGTGCGAACGCAAGATAGTTTTCTGAATCATGACTTTTCATTTCGCAATCGACTCCATACAACCCAGCCGAGAGATTTATCAATCTGTATTCGGCTCTCAGACCTGCTGGCTATAAACACACTTGGACCCAGACTATTATTTGGAGTAAACCTGATCTGCCAGAAAAGACTTGACATAAAGATGGCCTCCCCGAGAGCCGGGTGTGCCCGGGTGTACAGGCTCACTGGGCTTCCGAGTGACTGAGAAGTTTCCTCATGTTCTTCTTTTTCTTTACTGAAGTTCTGAGCTCAAGAAGCTGAAAGTTCTCCCTTCCTTTGCTATTTTGAGGGTGATCATTATGAACCGTCTGTCTGGCTTTTTATTTATTGACATTGAGCATCGTGGCCATATCGACTCCACCGGGGAAGGACGCCTTTTGGGTCGCTTTAGCGATGAATCTGAGATTTGGTCTAGGGTAAGGCTGGTGATGCCACTTGGAGGAATTGGCTTGTGGCCAGGCGTAGGCAATATATTTGTAATGCTGCTATTCTGCGGACCAACTATCAGAGATAGAACTAGTGTATTTGATTTTTCCATAGAAATGTCTGATCTATATCTAATGGAGACGACCACAGTTGGCATAACGGCTGTGAGAACAAGTGACAACCGAGGACAGACCCTCTTGTATTCAGGAGGCTTGAGATTATTGGCAGCACGGTGCCTATCAGTGAATACTTGATACATGATCTATAGCTGCGAATAGCAATCATGTCCTGGATGAACACATATTCACACCTATAGCTGTCAAACCTGTACATGCTGACTGGCTTTTTGCTTTCGCCTACGGCCCGGTGGATAAGTGATTCGGCTTGCCATACTCATTAATGATGTCTAACTCGCTGCTAGGAGCGTATATGGCCTGTTCTGATACTCTTGGCTCATGCTTTCGATCTCTCACCATCTGCTGCCGATAATTTGCCTTCCATGGGCTGCAGAGGTTGCCTACCAGCGCTGATAAGACCTCGATGTCCCGAAGACCTTACTTTAACACCAAATTAAGGTCGAGGCAGAATGTCTGGCCCTGTCAACACATAGTTTGAAAGGATGTTGGAGGAAGAAAATTGGGATGAGGGTTCGAACTTGAGGTTGGAACCCGTGATGTGGGATTAACCTATCTTAATCCGAGGCTGACACGCTAAGTTGAGGCGTCCTAACTCTAGTCACTCTTTGCTTTTCTCGAAGCTTATTTATTCTTGCTATGTTTCTGCTCTTCCTGATCTCCTCGACTACCCTGCGCTCGTGTGAGCAGATACCTTGATGATCTTACTAATCACAGTGCGGTGTCACTCAACTTCAGTGTTTCATACCGGTTACGAAGGTCCCTGAAGTGCGATACCGAAATTTGTGTCAAAAGTCATAATCAGACAAAGCTTATGATCACACTCGCCATTGTGGAACCACTAAAACCAAAAGACTGCAAGTTCCTTAGATTACAATTGGACTCAAGATCCTCAGGAAAAGGTATCGACTCACCACCATTATCTCGGCTTCAGAGACTCAATAATACACCTGACTCATGGTAAAGATCTTACAAGAGATGGAGAATAGACAGATTTACACTCGAGGCAGTCGCTATCCGCTAAGCAAGGATAGCTTCACGGAATGTTCCCTATTTAGGGGTGCCACGTGAGTTGAGCACATAGTTTGTCTTCAATACTATAGACGACTTTAGAAAAGAAGCTGAGCCAAAACAACTCTACTCTAATCTCGTGAAGTATAAGAGGTTCTATTCGAGTAGGCTATTCCCTCATTATCCAATAGTCATTCATACCCTCAGATCCATGCTGTAGATGTTTCATTGGCTGAGTTGACCGTGTCCAGCGAATAGTAGAGTACTGAAGCAGAGTAGGAATGCCTGGACCGAGTGTCACAAGGCTCCAGAAAGACCAACTCCCTTTGTTTGAAGAAATACTCCACAAAGATACGGGAGAAGAAAAGGGTCTCCTTGATTGATGCTGCTGTGGTTCGGCGTTCCTGATTGACGGCAGCCTCAGCACGGATGAAGCGTTTTGCCTGAACTTCTGTGAAAAGGGACTAATTGTCATCTCCGTTGAGAATTTCTCTAGCCGTTCGATTGTCCATTTTCTATCTGAGTATTCATAAGAACAGCGGCAGTCTCGATGGCGCTATTACTGCCTTGTGCACTAATGGGTTGGGCTTATGATAATGAAGTTGTTCAGTTCTTGTTGCATAAGAAGCACTCTGACGTTTGCATACCTTGTGAGCGGCCTTGCCGATCATCAGGATTCCTCAAAAATATGATTGGGGAAAGACATGACCCGCTAGGGCCACTAGAGTCATCTGCAGTCTATTCGCGTGTATGTTGCGCAATGTCTCCGTAACCTGTTCATTAAAGTAGTTCTCTGCCAGAGCGTGCTTGTATTCCTTTGTAGTTTCTGGGATGGCTTTGCCATATATTCTGGCGAACGATGTGAACAAGAACTAGTACAGACTGTTGTCTGGGGCAGACAATACCATGTAGTTATAGCCCTTGAAGAACGAGTTGACTTGAATCGCAGTGCCGCGTAGTCCTATAGGTCGTTTCGATACTACGAAGATGCACTCGGATTCCGATTGCAACCCTTGGTGGAAATAGGGTTAGGGTTAGGGTTAGGGTTAGGGTTAGGGTTAGGGTTAGGGTTAGGGTTAGGGTTAGGGTTAGGGTTAGGGGTTAGGGT